TTTTAACTCGAAAGGGAAAAGAAGGCTGGAAATTTAATTTAAAAAAGTCTCTTTTAATTATTTATTACTAATTAAAATGTAAATAATGTGTGTGTGTCAGAAAAACGTGCAGGTGCATAAAAACAATAATAATAATAATAATAATAATAATAATAATAATAATAATAATAATAAATTAGGAAAAATACAAATAAAAATAAACGCATATATTTACAATAAATTCACCTGAACACATTTTCAATTGTTTATTATTATTTTTTTTTTGTAAAAAAAAAGGAAAAATGGAGAGGAGGGGTAATGATGATGATGATGATGATTATTTAATTAAAATGAGTCACAGCATTTTTCTTTCTTGGAATTTATTAGATTTTGCATCAAATTAAATAAATGTAAAAAGATATTATTGAAATAGATGTGTTAAGTGTTGGTTTTCCATAAGGAATCTTCGTCTCGTCGAAACCTAAAAAAAAATGCTCGTAAGTCAAATTTAATAATAATAATAATAATATTATCGATTTTTATTTATCGCTACAACATTTTGTCATTAATTAAAAAAATTATTAATGATGATAATATATTCATCAATGAAAATTTTCTTTTTTTGTTAATAAGTGTTATTCGGGGACGATTGCATCGTTCTATTAGTTTTTTTCTTATTTTAAGTGGAACGAAATTTTGCTTAATCAGAATGGATAATTAAAAAAAATTTAAATTTCCTGATTGGTTATCAGTCAATAAAAGCCACCGCCCCCCCCCAATTTTCGGAAAATTAAAAAAAGTTTTTTTGTGGTAAAGGGTAGATGAATTTTTTAAAAAGTAACCTCGATTTTTATTCTCGAAAGTTATAAACCCGGATGGATCGTTTAATTGTTTGACGGGATTTTTAGGTAGTAGGTAGATAGGTAGGTATGTAGGTAGGTTTACATCCATCGAACCTTTGAAAGAAATTTTTTTTTTTTACGAATAAACTCGTCTCGTAACAAAAAGAGCTTTCGAATGTTATCTGGGTCATTTTTTTCGTAACAATCATCGATTATAATTTTATTTTCGCGGCCTCGGAAAAAATATTAAAAAAAAAAAATTTCACTTATTATTATTATTATTATTATTATTATTATTATTATTATTATTATTATTATTATTATTTTCGGTTTAAATTTACGCGGGTTAAAAAAAATTTACAATTACCGCGACGTCTTATATATAACAAACAACATTCGATTGATTGCTGAGCATTAAAAAAAAAATTTTTTAACTTTTTTTTTTTTTTAAACAATTTAAGCAGTTTACGATTGTTTATTATTATTATTATTATTATTATTATTATTATTATTATTATTATCAATATCGGTAGTTATAAAGAATCCGATTATTAAAAATAATAATAATAATATTTGTTTAAAGGAATATGATTTTCGGTGGAAAAATTATACTCACACGAAAATTTTAATTTTGCTTATTTGCAATAAAAAAAATTTTTTTATATAAATTTGACGTAATCTGACGAAACAAGAAGATCCCCCCCTTCCCCTCTTTTCTCTCTCTCTCCCCTCCCCCTTCTCCTCCCCCTCATAACGTCTTAAATTTTTTCCTTTTTTTTCTTTTTTAAATTATCACTTTAATGAATGATTTGCTTCTCTTTTAAAAAATTGAGGACTAAAAGAATGATATTCATTTACAACACAAAAATTCTTTTTATAATAATAATAATGATGATAATGATGATGATGATGATGATAGATATTCAATTTTTTTTTTAATTTTTATCCGATTTCAATTTACGTGTGTGTGTGTAAATTTCACTTTTTTTTATTATTTTGTTTTATTAATTCGTGTTGTTAACATTTTTGTTGTTGTTGTTACAGATTTGTTTGTCGTTTACTCTGACATGGTAGTGATTAATATCAAACACGCTGATGTTACCCGTAAGTACCTATTAACAAATAATAATGATAATTAAGTACGATAGAATTTTTTTTTTTAATGCGGAAATGCATTTCGTTTTTATTTATTTATTTATTTATTTACTTTCCGTTTTTAAATTTATAAAATAACAACAAATAAAAATAAATAAATTTTTCTGGCAAGTTTTTCCTTTTTTTTAACGATTTGTTTACAAACAATTTTTTTTTTATTATAATAAAAAAATTATTTAAAAACAAAACAAAAACAAAAACTTTTCTCGGTGGTAAATTATCCAAATTTTTATTTTGCGGAGGATTTACGTGGTTTTAAGTCAAAATTATTATTATTATTATTATTATTATTACTATTTTTGTATTATAACGCATTTATTATTATTATTATTATTATTTTAATTTTGTTTTTAACGATTCGATAAAATCGTGTATACAGTTGCCAGTTTTTATTTGACCGTGAAGCTGAATAAACGGACTCAAATCATTAAATATCAGTTTTTTTTTTATTTAAATTTAAATATATAAATTTGAATTTTTTTTTATTTACGTAACACGGGGGACCAGAAAAGAAAAATCAAAACTATTATTACTATTATTTTAAATTTAATATTTGTTTTCTTTTTTTATTTTAAAAAATACGTAAGTTGTTGTTGTTATTGTTACGATTGATATGACAGTAAAAGTTTTATTTAATTTATTTTATTCTTCAATGTCAAATTAAGTTTTATAACTATTTTATAATAATAATAATAATAATAAATATGGGCATGTATTTTGAAAGTAAACGTGCCATAAAAATCATTATTATTATTATTAGTGTGGTTTTTTTTTCGTTTTGCTGATATTTAAAACCGTAATGGAAGAATGCGTCAATTTTACAAAAATCACGAAGAATAAAAAAAAAAAATTATTTATTTATTTTTTTTTTTGAAAACTTGTGCGCTAAGATTCGATAATAATAATAATGATAATGATAATTATAATAATAATAACAATAAATTATCGGAATCGAATAACGAATTTTTTTTTTTTTTTCAAACATGAAAATCTTTGTACGAAAATTATTTGTTTATGACAGGTATCGATCGGCGCGGTACCTTGAATTTTTTTTGCTATTCGATTTATAATAATAATAATAACGAAGATAATTTATTTATTTATTTATTAATCAATAATTAAAATCATCGATAAAAAAATAAATAAATAAATAAAATTGTTATTAATAAATTTTTTTTTCGTCGTGTCATTTACACCTAATTGTTTTTAGGAAAAGTTATTTATTTATTTCGGTCATTTTTAAACGAGGTACAAAACCTTTTTATAACCCCGCAAAGGTCATTGACCCTTTAATCCTTTTTAATAATAAAAAAAAGAAATATATCAGAATCATAAAATTTATTTTTTTTTTATTTTTTTTATTTTGACCAATTTTTTTAAATAAATTTTTTTTTTAGGGGTGTGTTGCTCGAAGATTTTTTTTCCCACAGTTTTTTTTTGTCGAAACACGCACACGCACGCATACACGCACCATCGACCTTTTTTTTTTTTACCTTTTTCAACCTTTTTTTTTACATCGTCTACCACCTATTTTTTTTTTATTTCCACGACATTATAAATTATTTATTTATTTATTTTAATCCGGCTGTCAAGTCGATTGGTGGTAGTTCGTCACGAACGAATTCCCCTCCTCCGTCTCTCCCGTCCCCCCACATAAATATTATTTAACCCAACGATGAGAATCGAAATTTTTTTTTTTTTAAATATTTTTATGTGACAGAGAGGGATCCCTCTCGCACGCATGATCACGCAAATACGAAAGAGTTTTCATAAATGAATTTTAGAAGGAAGGAAAAATTCATTCATTCATTCATTCATTCATTTTCTAAACTGTTATAATCCCGTACGATTTAAATATTATTTATTTATTTATGTATTTAAATTGTTGTTATTTTGCTATGAATTTTTTAAAAATACTTTAATTGCCGGGAGAGATTTTTTATGAAATAATAAAATTTTTCTAAATATTGCATTCGATTATTTACGATTAAATAAATTTCTTTGCCAAGAAAAAAAAAGAAAAAAAAATTTTGGCCGACAATCAATTTGAATTTTTTTTTTCTTTCTTTTATATATATACATTTTTTTTTTAATTAAAAAAATATTACGTTTAACAAACAAATAAACAAACAAACAAACGAAAAATAAAAACTGTGGCAACAAATGGGGGAAAATTTATATTTGTATAAAAAGAATATCGAATTTTTTTATTACATGTGAAATTAACACCCTCGTTTTGTTAAATCAATTAAAAATTTACGCCTTGTACCAGCAATTAAATAACATTTTGTTTATTTTTTGTTTAAAAAAAAAAATTTACGAAAGATTTTGTTTATGCGCATATAAATAAATAAACCATAGGAAGGTTTGTGTGTGCGTGTGGGCGTGTGCGTGTGGGCGTGTGCGGGGAGGTGGGGGCGTGAGTGTAAATACGTCTGCCATTTAATTAAAACCATTTAATTTTTATGATTAAAAGTTTTTGTTTTTTTTTCTATAGTATAAAATTCAGACGTGTTGGCACCGTTGATAAAACCAAAATTTTTTGATTTTAAAGCCAATTTTTTTTTTTTTTTTAAATTTATTAAGTGTGGCAGGAAGAAAAAGAGCTTATCGAGTTATAAATTTTTAATTTTGTAAATAAAAAGAAAATAAACTCTTTCAAAATTAAAGTAAAAAAAAAAAAAATAATTATTGACATTCCTGAACATAATTAGGTCATTAAAAAAAAACAAAATGTCACTCGTCGTTACGTTTTAATTCATAAATTTTTTTTTTTATGTTTTTAAAAAAAATTAAAAAGAAAATTTTGTAACGAATAAGATGATTTACCATAACGAGTCATATAATAAACACGACGTAATTTTTTTTTTTATAAATAAAATATTTTGTAATAATTTAAATTAATTTTTCATCTTGTCAGGTTTTGAAAATTTCAAAAATTGGAAAATCGTTGTTGGGAAAACTCGTGAAAATTTTGGCACAACATTTAGAACATGATTTTACATAATTACACGAGGAAAAACCATGATATGTTCACTACTTATCATGACGATTATTTTTATTAATGGCATAGAAAACACAAAACAAAAGGTCAAACATTTAGATTCCGTTTGGAAAGAAGATGAAATAGATGCAAAAACAAAAGCTTGGCTCCTTATGGTCGAATCTGGTAAAGTGGACGAAGAAGAACTACGAAGGATAACTCCAAAATCTATTTTTATTGCTCCATTATTGACGAGTCGTACGGAAAAATGTCAAGAAGGTTACAGGTTTGATCATTTGGGTCAATGCGTCAAGGTAATTAAGGCGGAACCAAAATTCGAATTGGAACTTTTACTTAAAAAGCTCAGCGCGATTTATGCGGAAAAAAATAATTTCGAAGAATTGCAAGAGGAAAAAGTGGTAGAAGAAGAAGAGGATGAAGGATATGATGATGAAAACATAAGCGATAAATTTTCAGAATCTTCTAGCGGACCTTTACAGTTTTCTATTCCAATATTAAACGAAGATGAAAAAGATGTTAAACCAATGAGCGAAGAAATAAATACGGAATCATCACCACCTCCACCACCACCACCACCGCCAACATTAAACGAAACCGTTTTCGTACCGGAAAATCCTCTGGAATTAATTCCAGTACCTTTGCCGATAATCATGTTAAATAGAACGATGGAGAAAAATGATAATCGCACGGAAGATTTAGAATTTTCAGGTGCAGGGCCTTTAAACGATACCGAACCATTTATAACGACAGATTTTACAGAAACCTATGATGTATCATCGGGAGATTATTTACCAGAAGATGAAAGCACCACCACCACCGCCACCGCCGCCACCACGACGATCGGCGGTTTATTTTTAGAAGATACGGATTAGGTTTACGTAAATAAAAGAAATATGTCGAAAATAACATTATGTGTGTGTGTGCGTGTGTTTATATGTAAATAAAACAAAAGAATTTAGGAATTAGTTTTGATTGTAGATACCGAAAAAAAAAAAAAAAAAAAAAAACAAAAAAAGTGTACGAATTTATATTGTTGTATATCATTGTGTAGCATTTTATTTACACGGTAAATTAATCCCCGCCTCCGCCTCCCTTCCGTCCTCCCCCCTGATCCAATTCTCCGCCTTTCCGCCTTTTTTCTTATGCATTTCAGTGAGTAACCGCGGAGCATTTTGAAAGAAAATTCTTTTAATTGCTTTTCTTTTGTTTGTTTGTTTGTTTGTTTGTTTTTGTATTTGTTTACTCGAAACCCACAGGAAATTAACAACAATATTACGTGTTAAAATTTCCGACGAATAGTTTTTTTTTTAAATATTAGCATAATTTTTTATTTATGTTTTGTAACGTTCGAACACGTCGATCGAAGACAATCAACATTATTATCAAAAAAGGTAAATGTTA